ATTTCTCAAGCGCTTTCAATTGAAGTACTCGCCCAAATCTAAGGGAAGGCTGACTGAAGAGCAGGTCGATGTGCCTGAAACTCAGCTTATGCACTTGCCAAGTCAGGAGAACATTCCTCAGACCCAAACTCAGCAGGAACAGTCAACATTACGGAAACAACCTATTGTAATTTTAAAACAAAGACAGCTCCACTTTGTCGATTATGATGATGATGATGATAATAATGAAACAGAATAGGAGTTTCAAATGATTTAAATTTCAATATAGAAATATATAATAATAATATACATAACTTAAAGGTAGTCAGAGCTGAATAATTAAATAAGTGAATAAATAACTGTACACTTACTCAAAAATTCATATGTACATGTGCATCTATTATTTAGAGGGAGGCCGAATTTTATTTCCACATAACTAAAAGAAAAGAAAAAAGCAGAGAATTAGAAAATTGAGAGTAAGTTCAAAGTTAAAGAAACAGAGTTAATTTCCGACACACTTTTTAATGAAACATTTTACTTGCATTGAAAGTAAGAAGAACTACAACTACTTGAATTTTTGAGAAACGCATAGGAGAGCATAATGCAATTTTGTTTTTGTTTTTCAAATATGCAGGGAAGAGGCAAGTAAACTTATTCTGCATTTGGTCACAAGCAAAACATACAAACATTCTACAGACACACATACATACATGCAAACATGAACTTTCATTTCATAATTTACACATCCACACATTCACAAATATGTTGAGGTGACTGGCAATACACTTGCTAATGCAAAACATCACTTCCAATCAAAGCATGAAGAACAGCAAGTCCTATTTGAATTCATGAGAATCGTACAGTAGAGTAACACTAAAAGAATATTTTTGTTAATTGCAGCGCAGCTAAACGTAAGCTAAGTGTACTTTTGGTTAAGTAGATCGATAAAAAAAAATAAGTACAATCAGTCAAACAGTCAGGATAAACAGTTATATATGTAGACTGAGCCGAATGTCTGTCTGGAGCTCGCTTTTGAAATTTAAACTTTGATTTTTCTCTGTAAAATCGTGTCCCCCATCTCATACCGATAGCTGCCACATAACATTTGAATATGAATATGGATATGAATATGAAAATGAATACTGAGCATGAACCAGTTAATGGTGGATCCAACTGACGCATATAATATTAATATCAGGCTCGGTCTGAGTCCGCTTCATGTTTGCGTAAAAAGGTTGTTAAAATTATTATGAAATGCCTGTTGGCATGCAGGAAGCCGACCCGATACCCGCTGCCCGTTGCCAGATGCCCCACTCCCATTCCACTCGGTCGTCCTACCCCAATTGGGTGGACAAATGACCACTTATCAACGTGTAATGAAATATGGCACATGTGTTCGCCATATATGAAAGACATCCCTTTTGACATCAGTCGCAGTAGTTGGCGTCTTTGTCCTCTTGTGGAAGCCTTTTGTCGTGCTCTGGCATGTTATATGAATTATGTTGATGGCCACGATGATGATACAGGAGCCAACAGCTAACGATTCCAGCATTCGTATGTGTGTTTGTCCTGCGTCTCATTTATTACATTTTGGCTTTTTGACAGATTGCTAAGCGTAGTAACCGTTTCCGCACTAATTTCCGTGTCCTGCAACTATTCCGACATCGCTGCCTTTGGCCTTCTCCTCATGCTCATCCTCAGCGCAGTCATCGCTGTCTGGAGCATTAAAAGCCAAAAGCAAATTACTCATCATATCAACGGTCAGTTGCGCTGCTTTTTATGTATGCCATGCACAGGGATTTTAATAAATCGTTTTGTCCGAGTTTCCTCTCCCTTAGTCCTTGCGCTGCCGCCAGTCCTTGCCATGGCTCCTTTGCGCTGCTTTTATTAGTTTGTCAATAAAGTGCCAAAAGACGTTGATTATGATCGCTGCTGCCGTCATCCACTCGGCCAATGCCTTATGAGTTTTGCTTATGACCTGCAGGCTGAGACCATTTTAGGCTTCAGCAGACATTGAAGCGAATATATATCCTTTACTTATCCTTTGCTATCATTTTTGCAATCATCCGTTTTTGTAGAGACCGACTGCTGTTAAGTCGCAAATGCTCAACATATTCGTAGCAAGGAGCTTCTAAGGAGGCGAAATACTTGTGGCAAAGTATGTTGCATGCCTTTCGGCGCTCGGGGTATGAGTTGAAAGTTTCTTAAATATACGAACTAGGGGAAAGAGATACTGTTGCCCTCCGTGTGCACTTTGTAATGAATTTTTAATGCACTTTTGCTACAAGAGCATTTTGCAAGCATGTACAAAGTCTCTGCTTTGGGGGCGATTTGGGGGTTTTTAACAGCGTGTAACAAAATTAATTTTTTGCTACTTTATGCTGAAAGCCAATTAGATGGCATTACCTACACTTGAACTAGAAGCCAAGCACATGCGACCATAATTATGTTTAATTTATAATTGAATTAATTTTAAGTGGCTTTCAAGCTGCACAAAGCAACTTTTAATTAAAACATAATTCTGATTACTTATTTTGGCAAGGGGTGTGAAGAATATTTATTAAACTGAAGCTGTTAAATACTTGTGTTCAATTTTTTCAGAATTAACAATTTAATAGAAAGGTATTTAAATAGGTTAAAGAAAAAGCCCCTTTACTTTCTTCAGCCAATGTATTCAATACACAATATACCTCTTAACTAAGACATTGCTGGGCTATTTGATAGCTCCAAGTATTTCATTTAATTTTCACTTAAATTTTAGGCGTTCATAGTATTAAATTTAACAGTACTTTCTGGCTTCAAAAACCGCGGGGAGTTAATTAACTTAAATTTGCGGAAAACGGCTGCGCGCACATGTTGCCTGTTTCTATAATTTTAATAATTAGAATTGGATGGAGGAAGGGTCGATTGGGTTGTTGTTGCCTTTGTGGTAAAGTTTGACACTTGGTATGGGCGGATAATAAAATTGCCAATGTATGACAATGGCAGCCCACAGCCGATTTCCCAGTTCGCCTGGTGCTGCCGGCAGGTGTTGGACCAAAAAGTAATTATCATAAACTAGGCTGTCACACTGGTTGGGGGCGGCCTATTGATTAGTGTAGCTTAAAGTTTAATTGAAAACTAGTAAGTATTCATCGTGGGCCATTTGACGGACAGTTCGCACGACCCGAACAACCGGACAAAGAGCTGCAAATGCGACACGCGCTGACGCTCAAATGTCAAATTATACTCTGCAGTTGGTAAGCGATAACCAGTCGGCTGTGAAGGCAAACGCTCAGATTTAGAAAACGCAATTCAAATTAAATATGCCAGCAATTTGCTGGGCTCGGTTTGATTGACAGCTGCATGCCGAAGGCGGAAACGGATGTGTCAAATCAGGGCGCAGGTTGCCAAAATAATAATAGCAGGCCTCGCCAGGCCAAACCAAGCCGGCCCAGTTAAGCAGCAACGCGCCGTGCCGCCGACATTATCATCGCCTGCTTAAGCCCTTAATAACATATCATTTTTGTGACACGCTGCCCCGCATCCGTGCACCGTATCCTGTTACTGAGTCGCGTGCTGCAGTGCAGCAATTATGAGCATTTAATCCGTGACCACAAAAACTACAAATTGGCTTAGGTAGCATAATTCGATGGTTAAGTGGCCAGCAATCGCACCACCATCCAAAACTCCGAAGCGAGGGTTGAAAATCGGCATTCGAAATGTGAATTATGAATGAAAATCATATTTCATATTTTTGAATGTGCATTTAAGGTTTTCCAAGATTCGTCTGCCGGAGCGGGATCTTCTTATTCGTCTGTTTATTATGCAAAACGGACAGACGACCCCCCAAAACAGAATACTATTGATTTATCTAAAATGAATAACTATTTCGGACATATCCTAGTGTATTGTGGCGACTTCAACCCCTCAGATTTGCAATTGTGTGTTGCTGGCCAGTTGTTTGCGTTTATTTCTGCTAAGCCAAAGAGACTAATGACAATAAAAAAATTTCTTAAAGCGTCATCCTCAAGTTAGAGGTATTTTTTGCCTCTTTTCACAGATAACTTTGTCAGCGATGTTAATTAAATCTATAGCTAAGTAAAAAGCTTAACTTAATATTAAAATCTGTCCCAATGAAGAAAATATAATAAATTAGAAAACAGTTTTAAAGAGTGAACAAATTTGTACTAAATAATATCTAGAAAATTAAGTAGATAGGGTAAAGAGATAGATATGGGAAATCACTGAACCAGTGGGGGGAAAACTATCTGGCAAACTATGCTCCAACTCATAAGTTAGTGGTTAGTGGTTAGTGAGTTGCTGAAGGTATCCTGAAAGCAAGGGTTTTTTTAGAGGAAGAGAAGGAAAACGTGGTTTAGGCTATTGTAATCTATACAAACATAAAAATAGTATTTCTGGTAGGTCTGGAGGGAACAGAGAATTCAAGATCACCTAACAGAAAATATGAATCTCCATTGACAACACACAACTTAAGCAGACAAGACAACACCGAGGAATATTCTACGGTTGGTTAACGACGGAAGATTAAGATTAAGGCAAAGCAGAAATAATAATAATATCACAACATTTCTTAAAAAAGGAAGAAATAAATATGATTTATAAATTGTAAATGATTTTATACTAAAGAAACTATACAAATTAGTTTTACTTGGAATCAGTACTTGGAACCAGCACGGAACCAGATACTGATAAAGTTGATTTCGGCTGAAAACGGGAGCATACTTTTAGGGCATTATATCTGATCCCCTACGTATGCTATTATATTGGAAATTTATAAGATTGACAATTGGAGGGCGACACTAAGAAACGTAGATCTGTATTACTCTACTTTATTATTGTCAAATTATATTTGTGCGATGCTTGAGCTGTCGCTAGCTGTATAATCCATTTCACCAGAAAGTAGGGATGGGAGTGAGAAGCTGACAATCAATCTGCCAAACTCCTTCCAATAATAGATGGCGTATTACAGTGCCACCATTTATGTATTCCTCTTTAAGCGCCTAAAATAAAATTCAGTCTTTTCAAACAGCATTTATTTCATTAGGTTTCTATTTTGTGCTTTCCACAACAATAGGTATTGGGGAATCGAACGAGTAACGCTTTAAAACAATCGAATCTTCGGGAATGTGTTCTACAGGTAACTGATCCACAATGGGCAGATCTTCAATTTCGTTCATCAATACGTCATACTGCTCGGCATTCGCGTCGTTCGAGTCCTCGTCAGCCATGGCCTCCAAATAACTATTCTTTAATTTACTGAACGTTTCAACGTGAGGGACAACATGCGAGCGACAGCATGTGCATACTACATGATTGCGTAAACTGTAGGCGTATGAACGCTTAGTTTTGTACTTGTCCTTAAATGGACATTGTCGCCTTGGCCTTGGTAATGTCATTTTTCTGGCAGTCTTGCCATTGTGAGTTTTCCAACTGTGCTTAAACGCGCGACGCGTCCTTTGTGGTATGAAGCGGCTGCGTTTCTGTGCTCAAGACGTATGAAACTTTTACGGAATAGAATAAACTAAGCCTGTGCTCAAGTGGAACTTACAGTGCATCTAATCCTTGCCGGAATAAGGGCGCGCTCAACGGGAAACTGATAGAAGTTGTATTCGGCGCTAGGGCTTCGGGATAATATTCCAAGATGTGTCAAGCTACTCAACGACTTCAGCACGTGGCCTTTCACCACATCCAACTTCCTTTTGTGACGCATCTGCAACATCACCTGCTGAACGATATCGTCCGCATTGATAAAGATAGATTCACCTCTTTGTAACAATGCAATCGCTCTCAGCACATGCCGAGTGTATGCTTTAGGTGCGCCAGAAGCCGAGACATCCATGCTTGACAATAATTTCGATTATAACAAAAAGAAAAATAAAACAAATCTTGAAAACTTTTGATATTTTGTGTTTTCGATTAGTTTGACTCGATATGTGGCGAGCAAGTGATGTGGATTTATATCCAAAAGGTCTAAAATCGGCAACATAGACTGAAAGTGCATGGCTTATTGAGATTTTGATTATGAACAATTATTTAAGGCATAATAAGTAAAGTCAAAAATAACATAGAAAATCGTTGAATACAAATATTCATTTAAAATAAATTGACATCATTTTAAATGTTGTCATTTTTTTGTAAGCACTAATTAATGGTTTTTAAAATTTTTATTTCATTTTCATATATATATTTTTTTGTGCATTTGTTTTTATAATTCTTCTTACATGTATTTATGCGTTTTGTTTTGTTTTGCTTTTCATTTACATATATACTTTTGTCTTATGAACATATTCATGAGATCATAGTGATATTATATATATATATAGATATATATATATATCTTTATATATATTAAATTATTACAGCATAAGATAAAATGTACAAGTTATATTTCGTGTTCGCTTGAGCTTTACACAAAGAAAAATACATATTGAAATATGCATTTTTATTTATGAATACATATTGAAAATATTGGGGACTTAAGTCTAAACGTAATTGAAGTTATGTAAGTTTGAATATGTGTTCATCGCAGCTTTCAATAAGAAAAGTTGGCAGCACATATTTAACACACATTTTCACTGTTTTGGCACCAACAATCTATACAAAATGGCATTTGATTTTTGCGCTATATACAAATTACGAATTACTTAATTTAATGTCGGAAGTTCGCATGGAATAAAATAAACAAATTTTCGCTATGTGATTCATTTTATTTTTGTTTCTTGCTTTTCTGCTTTGTTTCAGTTTATGGCAACCAAAAATCTTGTTGACTTTTGGGCGCGCGGCCACAAAACTTTACCGAGATCATTGTGAAAACTAATTAGAATGAACCATCGCTGCGGCTGGGCACTGGCAACAAAACACAAAAATTTTGCTGGCCAATGACAACTTTGCGTTGAGTTCATTTTAGAAAAATTTACAAAAATTTTCATAGATTTTTTGTGTTTTTTTGTTTTTGTTTTTTTTTTTTTTTTTTTTTGGGTGTGTGGAATAGTTGTGTACAAATTATGGGTATGTGTATAAAAAAAATAAGTAAGAGAAAAATCATAATAAACAAATTTTGTCTACCTTTGCTGCTTGCTGCTGTTATATTAACTAGTGTATGTGTGGGCAACTCTCCCTATCTCTCTGTATCTCGTCTGTAAAATGAATAACTCTTAAGCTACCAAAAAATATTGCTCTACTTACAGGCATTTAACATATGATAAACAATATTTTTACTTAAATTTGAATTGCTTTGATTTGTCAACTGACAAGCGGAAAACTTTACATAAAAGAAACTTAAGGCTATGAATATGTAAATGAATATGTAAACTAAAACGCTTGGCGATTCTAAACCTAAACTTTTACATAATTATGCCTAATTTACATATTTCTCATCGCGTTTAATGCAAGTAAAAAATTGCTGATGAAAATGATAAAAAAAATCCATGAGATCAATGCGATTTTTGGGAATAGTTTTTTTTTTCATTTTTCTTTTCTTTTTATATGTTCATTTTCTTAATTATTTTTTGCTCTTTAAATTCCTTACTATTTTTTCACTGTTCGATTAGCATTGAAACGTCAAGAAATTCGGCAAAATGCTTTGAAACTTACCAAAAAAAATAATAAAAAAAACAAACAAAAATTTGATTTGCTGCGTGTTGACTTTTTGACTTTGGCTAGCTATGGAGATCAATTGAGTTGCGCCCTCTATAAATTTCCAGTTAAGAGATCATTCAACGCTTGGCTTTGAGTGTTAACCAAAGGTAAACCTGAAAACGTGTCGTGAAACTTTGGACAATTTCAATGGACATTTTGCGCAAATTTCTTGAACAATGTTGCTTAAAAACTAAATTGTGAGACCAATTTGAAGAATGAACAAAATAATCCTCATGAAAATATATCCTGCTTACAGACTACCAAATTTAACTAAAAACATGTGTGCACAATTATAATAAACCATAGACAAAATCATCACAAAAATGGCATATAAACTATATACAAAATTGTTCTTCTTTTTTTTTTTCTTTTTCTTTTTTCTTTTTCTTTTTCTTTTGTGTGGGATTTTTTCTGTGATTTTCATTTATAACAATTAAAGCTAAATACTTTTTATGTTCAAATAATATTTTGTTTAAGATTTTAACTAATTTAAAGCAACATTTAATTAAGTTGTGTAATTTCTACAAATATTTAAGATATATATATATATATTTTCTTGTAATTGAAATTACAATGTGAAGACGTTGAAAATTTGTTGTTTGACAATCAAAAATATAATACAATTTAAATATATTGAAAATATTTTGGAAGCAAGATATTAGATTTTGTTCTTTTTTTTTACAATTAAAATATATTGAAAATATTTTGGAAACAAGATTTTTGTTTTTTTTATCTTTTAAAGTTTTTAGTTTAGTTTTGTTTTTTTTTTTTTTTAGATTTTACGAAATGCAAAGCTAAATGCAAAGTAGCAAGAAATAATCAAACTCAGACATTGAACTGCTGGAAGACCGGCCTACAAAAAGTATCTCAAAAGATGGCAGTTTACAGTTTTACTTGAATTTTACATATAGATTTAATATATATATATAGTATGTGACATTTTCTTATAGAGTTTACAAAAATATGCTCGCGTTTGTTTTTTTGTTTCATCGAAAAAGCGTTACCAAAAAATATGTGTTAAATATTTCTACTCGTATATTTATGTTAGCAAAAATATTTATCATTCATCATTTGTCGTTTTTAGTCTTTAGCCAGTCTACAGATTACAATTGAGCAGTTTGAATTGTTGTTGCATGTTTTGTTTTCTTAAAGGATAGTTTATCATTTGATAGAGAAATATGAATATATGAATACGAATACAAATACAAATACATTTATATTGTTCTTGTGTCCCGTCAACCTCCTTAACTTTATACACACTCAAGACTCGTTTTCCTCTAGATCAGCAAGTTCTTCACTGTATTTATATATATATATATATATGCACACGGGAATAAAATACGTAAGCTGATTTCACTATGGATTAAGTATATATGGTTATTTATGGTTCTTATTCTTCTTGTTGCTGCTGCTGTTTGGCACTCATCGCGCTGCAAAGAAGCCACAGCCCATGGCAAGCACAAAAACGGTGACAACTGTTGGCCATGTGAAGCTTTGCTGTTTCTAAAAGAATTCCAAAAATATATATATATATATTGAGTATATGTTTTTTAAATAATTTCAGGATTTACTAAACATCTAATACTCATCATGTGGCTAACACAATTGTAACGGTAGCAAAGTCCCGAGGGTTACATAAATAACATAACACAGCCACGTGCCCTCTGCTAGTTTGACCGCATTCGCTACCCCGGCCCGCACAGCACACACACACACACACACACACACACACACACAAACACCACACACCGATACGTATATCATGGACCGGAACTTATGTAAGTGACCCAAATGTGGTTAATGGCTGGTCAATATAGTCGGCGTAATTATGTTTCCTAAAGCGCTCAGACTATCATTTAACAATTTCGTTTATCGCATTCAATGGACACATATAAAATCATAATTTATGCCATTTATTTGTAGAGCATTCACGGTTGAATGGCCATTGTGTGTTGCACGTGGTGGCCCGGGCTGATACTTGATAGCCAAATCAGCTCGTGCAGCGCGCAATATTATGCAAATTGTGATTATTATATTTTGGGCATATTTTAATAGAATTTCGGCATTTGTTAAATCAATTGAAAGCACTTTGGCACATGTGTTTGTATTGCGACATAGATATGTATATGAGCATATGCAACAAGCACTTGACTGCTTTTATATATAGATGCAATGGGAAACGGGGCGCCTACGTCAGATTGCAAATATTCTCACGATCTCATTAAAGCGCACTCTTCCGATAAGGCAAATCGCGACAACTTGCGCAGCTTCCCAAGAGTGTTGGCAACGGGCCTCCAGAGTGTCGCAGAGTCTCGATAAGGGGCAATATGCAGGCAATGCAAACAAATGACACGCAACGCAACAAAAGGACAGAATAAAATAATAAATTATAAATAAAATGGTATCAAGTGGGAGCTGCTGCCTATGAGTGTGTGCCTTAAGCCTGTGTCATGCGATTGAATTTCTTGAAGGTTGCAGTTTTTTTTTTCATTTTTTTTAATTGCGCAGGCAAAAAACAACAAAAAGAAATGTAAATAAAAGTGCGCCCAGTTTGTGTCACAATGCAATCTAAAGTACTTATAGACATGCATAGTATACGCATATATATAAACTATATATATTATATACAGGCTGTAATGCACACACTCACACACACACACACACATGTGGCAGCTGACAAAGGCTGACTCTTTGACTGACTAAACTAGTAGTGGCAGCTCCAGGAGGGCGAGGAGGGCACGGGAATGGAAACGGGAACGACACTTGCCTCGATTAACATAAAGCAGCGGTGCCGAAGCCACAGAGGGTGGGAGCAGGCGTTGGGCTGACTTCAGCAGCAGCAGCAGCAGCAGCAGCAGCAGAAAGCAGAAGCAGCGCTGCGCAATTAATTTTTATCACACTTTTAGCATGTGCAAAGTTTTGCCTTATAGAACATTTGAAATATGCACGACTCTTGTGGCTGCAACTCCAGCCCCAACTCCAGTCCCAGCTCCGACTCCGACTCCGCCTCCCTGTGGCAATTTGTCATTGCCTGCGACTATTTTTAGGCGCATGTTTTTGCTAGTTGGGCTTTGAATAATGCTAGCACGTGTGCCATCTGGACTTGCCAGCAGCTGCGACAAGTTAATGAACTCGTATTTGTCCCTAATTTGTGTAATCGGAATCTAAAATTCGTAATGGAATTCCGTTGCTTACCTTCTCCTTGGTCGTTCTTTCGCGCTGTGGGCTGTAGCCGTTCTCGTTGGCATTGTCGCCGCCGCCACAGAGGTGCGTATTGTTGGTGTTGCCCGGATTGCTGGTCTTCTTCTTGCGCGGCGGTATGCGTCCGCTGAACTCCTGCAGCCGTTCGCGTCCGGCCGTAAAATTGTCATAGCGATCGTCAAACTCATCCCAGCTGGTCTCATGATCGCTCTGATACTCGCGCTCATCCTCGCCCGTCGAGGTCAGCCGCTTGCTAAAAAGTAGAGAGAGAGAGCGAGAGAGTGAGAACATTATTATCATTAGAGCGGAGAGAGAGAGAGAGATAGGCTGAGAACATGATTATCATAAATTGTGTGTGCTCTTATCAGTGCATGCATAATTAAGTAAGCGCAATGAAAAAAATTGTGATTAATTTGCAAGGTTTTTTTTTTTCATTTTCATTAATTGAATTTTGCGTTGTTTGTGAGAATCGCTTTTTATAAAGCTTCATATAGACTATTGAACTACACTCAAAAAACATTATTTAAATTTTATAAAATTCGACAAAAAAAAAATGTTTAGCTAAATTTAACAATATTATATAATCTTTGAATTATTGCCCAGCGTAGAGGGTATTAAAAAGTCGGGGCCACAAGTTGTTCTAGTGTTTTTTATATGCATGTAAATTACGGCCTCCAATGAAATTTATATATGCTCCACTTTGCATTGCTTATCAGCGAGCCGCGAAACATGAATGAAATTTGAAATGTTCTTTTGCTTGGCTTCGTTTGGGGAGGCTTGGGTTGGGTTGGGTTGGGTGTAAGTACTTACCGTCTGGCTGCATCCGATTGGCTGCGCTGCAGACGCATCTTGGGACCAGTTGGCGCCAATGGAGTCGATGCCATGGCCGGCCCATAACCGTGCCGGCCAAAAGACGCAACCGATGCAGCCCCCGAGGTCGAGGTGGAGGCATTCGCAGTGTTCGGCGTGGGTGGCGGCGTATAGGTTGCATAGTAGGCGCCAACCGGCAGCGGGTGCCCGTAGGAGGCCGGATGATGTTGCAGCAAGTGTGATGCCTGCGGGTAGCTGTGGCTGTAGTGCATCGGTGGCGCCGACTGCGGCGCCGGCGGTTGCGGTGGCATTGGCTGTGGCGTTGTCGGCGCCGGATATGGCTGCCGGAAGAAGTTCAGCTCCTCCCCGGCGGCAAAGCTGATGCTAGTGCGAGGCGTGCGCGGCGGCACATGAATGCCATGGGCAAAGAATACATCCCCGCCCGTATAGCTGGGCGACTGGGCACTCGAGCACGAGGGGCTGGGCGGTGGCGGATACTGAAAGATTTGCGGCGCTGCAGCGGAGAGAAAGAGCAAGAAAATGCATATAAATAAAATGGCCATTAAGATCGCCAGCAACAATTACAATAATACTATTAATACTATGTAAACAAAGGTGTCGGCGCTGTCATTGGCCCTTCGACTGCGGCTGCGGCTGCGGCTGCGACAATGCAAGGAAGTGTCTAAGGTCGTCGGCCATTGTGCAACTGCCACTGCCACTGCAACTGCAGCTGCGATTGACTGGGCACTTAGCGGCGCTGTCTGCCCATAAAAGCGATTTTAATTACGGCAAGTCCTCACTATATGCCAATCATAAAACCTATCATAAAATCATCAAGTGGCCCACCTTGCCAGCGGCTTCCTTTGTGCAGCGCTTTTAAAGTATCTTAAAAGTTAAAAGTATCTGCCTATAGTATACACGTATCTGATCTTCTTCTGAGGCATATCTCAGCTAAAATGTGTCTTCAAAAGTTGCCAAGTAGCAAGTGCAGCAGCTGCAACATCATTTATGTATGCTAAATAAGTAGCTGTATCTAAGTTCTAGCCGTACAATGTCATTTCATATTGATGCAATATGTATTTGTATATATATTTGTTTTTTTCTTTTTCTGCCATCTCATGCAAATTGAGAACAGAAAAGCGTTGATAGCTAAGCTGATCACTTGATATGCGCATAAATTTAATGTTATTGTTGTTGTTGTTGTTGCCTGGCAGTTTGTCTTGTGCTTGGGGGGGAAACATTTTCATATGATTTCTTAATGTTTATTTACTTAAAAAGCAATTTAATAGCGACATATGATTGATTGTAATGCAAAATTTATACAAATCACCCGACAACGCCGACTGACCGAAACGATAATGTCTCAAGCAGCTAATTGCCCCTAGGGCTAACTTATTTGCGAGTGGTGCTGTGTGGTGCTGTATGGCCAGCATTCGTAACTGGCAAGTTTGGCATGTCAGTCAGTCAATTGGCTTGGCGGGCAGACAGTTTGAAATAGCTTAAGATACATAGATACAGATACGGCCAGAGGCAAGCTCAAATAATGTCATTCAACGTCAACCTGCAGGCCACTAATTTGCAATTGACCCATTAGCCTTGAACTCGAATAGCGTGCAGCGTAGCGCAGCGGGTCGCAGTGAAGCGAATCGAGTGGCTCACAGCTGTTGCAGTTGCTGTTGCAGTTGCCGTTGCAGTTGCATTGCAGTTGCTGCAAAGCAAAACAAAATCTGCGCTTAATTGCAGGCAACTGCACAGCGCCACTCCTTGTGCTCATGCGCGCATTTGTATCTTACAGATACTTTATGCCATTTGAAACTAGTTTGCCTGCCTGCCAGCCAGCTGCCTGAAGCTCCACTGCGGCTCACGTGCGCTGAACGCTCGCGCGCTCCAACGTCGCATTTAACCTTGAAAATCTGCCAGTCCAGCTCAGCTGTAGCCCAAGTCAGCCCAAGTCAGGCATCATTACGGCTCGCATTTGTATCTTGTAGTTAGCTAGCTGCTGGCCAGCTTATATAACTAGCCAGCTCTATGTGTAGAAGTCTGGCTGGGCCATGCTGGTGCCTTTATGATGAGGCGCATTGAAAATGTTACTACTAATTGCAAATTGTGTGGAAAATTATTTGCCAAGTGTTAAAATTGCATTTGCATATGAGTATGTGGGCACAACTGTGTGTGTGCGATTAGGTGTGGTGCAGGTTGATGAGCTTAGGCTGTGATATCGCTTGACTGTGACTGACTGTGACCGAGCTGCATATAAGACAATTATTACGGTATTTATATTTGTAGTTGAAAACCCACCGATAGTGCGACCATTCGATAATAGTCGATAGTTCGATAGTCGATATTGATATATATGGAAAGATATTATTTGTAAAGTTTCTTATCCGAATCTTTTCAACTGCTCAATCTATGCAAAAAGCTGTGCTTAAGCCAATAAGTAATTTTTAAGATAACAAATTCAATAAAAAAACATCGATAATATGTGTGAGTTCTTGATACTTTTTAAATACATTCAAGCTGCATTAAAAACAATTATAATTTTTAAGATCAAGTTGTTCTAGTTATCGATAATATGTACAATTAAGATAGCCTTCGTTAATTTGGAAATTATCATCTAATAATTATTTTAAAAATATTTATGTAAATTTAATTTTAAAATAATTTTTTCTACTAAGAACTATTTATAGTAATTAATGATATATGCAACTACGATTGTCTTCGATGCTTTACGAATATATATTTTATTAAATTTGTTATCAATATTAAAATATGAAATAATTTATAATTATTATTTTGCTGTTGTAAGCAGTAACGATAGTCAGTACACAATATCTTCATGTATCGTATTTATTTAAGTCTACAATGCTACTGAAAGGTTGAACAATAACGACTCGGGATCGCAGTTGGAAAATCAATTTCTTTGTTTGTTTTTCTGTCCCACCTCTAGCGTTTAGGAGTTTTATGGCAGCTTAGCAATTTTTATGATCGCATCTCGGTGCGGGCGCTGCTGCAATTGTTGCAGTTGCAGTAAGTAGTTATTGTTGCTGTTAATGCTGTTAGCTGGTGACGAAACGTGACCAATTGTTAGCTAGCTTTCTGCATTTGTTTGGACGAATGCAAGTATTTTTATGGCCTGGCAATATGGCAAATGTTTAATTGAATCGCGATTATTGCGAGGGACTTGCGGGTGTGTACGGGCCGCATTTGTCGCATCTGTGAGCTGTCTTAGAACAACAATTATGTGTGTAATTTACTTTAATTTTTCATACTCGCCATTGCGCTGCTGCCGACTGCGACAATGTTGCAACTATTGTTGGGGCCGCGGCAGCAGCAGCAGCAGCTGACAAACATCAATCAGGCAAAACACAGCAATAACAAAGCTCAAGTCTAGCTATAAGTTAAACTAAGCAGAACGTTAGAAGCTTAAAGAACAATTTACACGCGGCCCGAGGAAAAACCGAGCAGGCTGGCGGTAAAACGTGAAAAATGCTGAGCGCTCTGTGTGCGTGTGTGTGTGTGTGTTACGCTTTGCTTGCCACAAAAGAACAAATCGTTTGACGACGTACCAAATGCACTCTGTATACCCTAACAATGGATATTATTATTTCACTTCCCATGTAAACATTTTTATCATAAATACATATCTTTTATCACAATTGTTACATCAAATTCTTGTGTAAAAAAAGCATCTGTATTCAAAAATAGTATTTGTTACAATATTTAACGCAAAATGAATTATGTTAAGGATCAGTCAATGCACAACAGGGTATTTAAACGTCGGCTAAGCGAACTGCAGCTGTTCTTTCTATTTAGTTTTGCAGTTTTGCAGTTGATTACATGTCAGCCCAGAGTCGAGACCGTCAGAGCCGCAGCAGCATATACTGCTCATGATGGCCTTGAAGTGTTTGAAAAATAGCAACAATAACAGCAGCAGCAACAACAACTACAAAAACAACAACAACAACTGCAACAACAACATTAACAACTAAATGCGAGTATGAATATCAGGCAACAACTGCGTCGTACCGCAGAAATCGAAATTGAAACGAGTTTCAATGGATCTGGCATCAGGCTAAGTTGGTCACTGGGCCTGAAACCCCGATCGCTGATCAGATGCTAAATGTGTGCCAGTTCAAACTCAAAATATGCAGGTTTATAAACTAGGTTTAAGTACGTGCGAAATCTTAACTCTACTAGAAATTCAATATATTGCATTTTTCAATTTGCGTTAAGGCATAGATACATGCGAACTTTTAATTCTTCTTTATGAAATCAAAGGCAAAGATACTTCTGAAATCATAATTCTTCTTTTTCCACATGCGAAATGCTAGTTCTTCTTCTCGAAATATAAAGTATGCTATTACATCATTAGAGCTTAGACAAAGATACACGTGTAATGTGAATTCTTCCTGTTGTAAGCCACAATATGAATTTGTATAATTCAGGTTAAGCTAAAGATACATGCGAAATGTGAATTCTTTTTCTAAATACCATTTGCAGAAAAACGAAACTTTGTTAACTGTCACTGGAGCACTGACATTTATTAATGATGCCACCAGACGGCAACAACAACAACTGCAACTTCAAGACTGACAGCACAAAGGAATGACTGTGGTATCCAAAAAGGAGCAGCCGCTGCTTGTTGCGTTGCTTAATTCTGCCCGAAAAACCAAAAAAAAAACCAAGAAATTTCAAAAATTGGCATTACAAAATGTTATATTGTATGTTGCCTCGCCTCAGCGCCATGCCACACGCTGCATTGTTGTGTCACACCTGACGCCCACACACACACACACACACACACACACAAACGCACACATGAAACAACACGCAACCAAATCGAGTGGAATTGAATTCGGGCTTTTAAGGCGATTTGCTGGCTGTCACGATGCGACGAGCTACAAATTTGTTGGCTCGTCGATCGTCAGGCTCTTGGCTTTAATTAGGCGAGGCTGCAGCATGAGCTCGCGCTTTGTTTTTGTTTTTATTTCTTTCGATTCAGGGCCAAAGTGTTAACGGTACAATTTGTAATGATCCAACCCAAATTCGAATTCCCCAATGCGGTCAAGTGACTAATTGCCATTTTTTTGTGTGTGTGCTTGTTATTCAGGAAGTCGCCAGTTTGCGAACTTAAAAAGAAATCGCAGTCGACAAAATTGTTGACCAAGTTGTCAACAAGATTCTTGTCTATATATAACAAATGCTCAAAACCATTTTGGTGTTATAAAAAAACGTATTTGAGACGCGGACGAGACAACGAACAATGCAAAGTTGAATGTCAATCAGCAGGTGTCGCCAGGTCGAGCGATCGATCGATCGATTGATTGCCATATTCAACTGTTAATTACCAATTTTGGTAGCGTTAATTAGCCATTTGTGTAATGTGCTTTACCGTTATGAGACGCGCAAATTTGGAAGCTGTTCAAAATGCGGAAATCACCTCAAGAATTTTGATGAAAGTGTGAGTGTGAGTTTGAATGTGAGTCACCCGAAGGAGAAAGTTCTTGAGCAAGA